TGAACTTCCTCTTTCATCACCATAGGTTCTTGCTCATATGTCATTTCATGAAATTCTTCTGTGTCAGCCAATTCCTTCTGATATAGTGACTCTGTGTATTCAGTAGTATCTACATTTATATGTGGTGCTGGAGAAGAGTATTGAGGGTACCATGGACTGCTAGGAAAACAAACAGATTCATCCTAGAGAGCGTTAAACTGGGAAGCTCCCTGGAGGCAAGGATTCTGAGGCTCCGTCTAACATACTTTGGACATGTTGTAAGGAGGGATCGATCCTTGGAGAGGGACATCATGGTTGGGAGGATGGAGGGACAGCACAAGAGAGGAAGAGCTTCTAGGAGGTGGATTGATTCAATGACTGGGGTATTCGGGATGGGTGTGTCAGTGGCAGTGCTATTGGCACAGGACAGAGCAGAGTTTAGGGCTGCTGTACATAGGGTCACTATGAGTTGCAAGAGACTCAGCGACTCTATGGCACATAACAACAACTAACAGAAAAAAGTTGATGGCACAATGTTAAGTGCTGTAGTAAGTTAAAGGCTCATGGTTTGAGCCTACCCAGAGGCATTTCAAAAGACAAACCTGCTTATCTGCTTCTGAAAAGTCATACGCTTATGCATACTGCATTGAAACAGATGAGGGAGAGAATAGTTTAAAAGCGATATATGATAAGGTATTATGGTAATCACAGGAATCCAGAATTAAGGTTGCATAGTAGAGTGCATTAGGGGCGTGGGAGGGCGGGGGCTAGGGGATTGTATACCAGTGAAGATGTTTATCTTTTGCTTTTCAAAGTGAGGAGCAAACTGGAAGGTGTGTGTGTGTGTGTTAGAGAAAAAAGTGCAACAATGAATGAATGGAAATCCAAAATCTCTGTAATTATTCATTAAAATTAATAAAATAAAATTATAATAAAAAGAGTAAAGGAGAAGAGGTCTGGGGATGAGCTCAGAATGGGTCTGACACCCAGAGCTTGGGGAATGTGTACAGGAGATCCTCTGGGTGCATTCCTGCAAGTGAAATTGTGGGGCTTCTGGGAATCAAATTGTTTTCATGCTACTATTTATTGTCAAAACACTCACCAAGGTGTTTGTGCCAATTTATGCGCTCGAGAAAAGAATCCCTCCTACCCCTCATTCTAATTTCTACTTCGTAAATGGCAGACTTAAAGCTGTCTATCATTTGTGAAATGATCAAGCTACAATTTGTAGCTATGTCAGTGACAGTCTGACACAATTCTTGGGCTTAGAAGAACTTTAAGAGTGGCCCAAGAAACACTTCCTTCCTAACATTTACTGCACTGTTAAAGAACTGCTTTTCTTGATGCAATTTTCCATTAAACAAATGCTCTCCAAGGTAGGGCATTTCTCATTCAAGTCTTAGTCCTCGGCATTGACCATAATGCAAAGGACCCAGTCAGCTGTCCACAAACATCAAGGCCTGCAGGCAGGAAGAAGAAGTACTCACTCATTGAATGACTATTTGGCCTCTGTTAAATCACTACCACTAACACAAAGATTTAAAAAAAAAAATAAATAATCACTCTTAGATTAACCTTAATTGTATGCAACATATAACAGACTACAATACTCAAACGATTCACTTTTGTAGAGAAAACTCACCTAACTAACACAGTATGTAGATTCCTGGGGGGTGAGGCCCTAGCAGAAAGTGTAAATGTGTGATGAGAACCAAGTAAAGAGTCTGGGAGGCTCAGAAAAACACCAGGCGTGTGTTCAAGTGCTGTGGCTGCCCAGGCTTGCTGGCACTCATGGTTAGGCCATTGGCTACATTCATGTTGCTTTTGAGTAGGAATCTACTCATAGGTGACCCTCCTGGGGATTTTCAGAGGCTGTAAATTGCATAACAGGAGAGAGACTACCCATGTTTCTCCTACAGAGCACCTGGTAGATTCGAACGGTCTGCCTTAGGATTGGCAGCATGACTCCCTTACCATCTGGCCATCAGAGCCCTCCACCAGCGAGGTACCCCAACAAAGAGGCCTAGAGAGCTGCTTCTGAAACATCTCATTTATAAAAATACTTCCTAACGCATCAGAGAGCTGGACATGACTAAGGATGACAGAAGAATCGATGCCTATGAGTTGTGGTGCTGGAGAAGAGTTGAACATACCATGGACCACCAACAAAACAAACAGGTCCGTCTTGGAGAGGGTGAAACCAAGTTTCTCCTTCTAGGCTAGGATTGTGAAGCTCCGCCTCATTTACTTCGGGCATGTGTCCTTAGAGAAGGACCCCGGATGAGATGGATTGATACAGTAACTGGGGCAATGGGGGTAGGTGAGTTGGCATCAGTGAGACTGGCTCAGGATAGGGCAGGCTTCAGAGCTGCTGTACATAGTGTCACTAGGATTTGCAGGAGACTCAATGGAACATAAGAACAAGAGCAACAGCAATGTAGATCTATTCAGAAGCACAAGGAGTCACCACGAATTGTAATCAACTTGATGGAAAGTGACTGATTTCCAGAGAATTTGTAAAGCTTCTTGCTATTATGCACTAGCAGGAGATAAAAATGAATCTCTATCCTGAAAAGGTGACTTAGTACATAAAGAGTTACACCACTAACCCAAAGCCAAGTGGTTTGGATCCACCAGCGGCTCCATGGGAGAAAGGTGGACAGCCTCCTCCGGTGAAATTCACTGCCTCTGAAAACCCACTGGGAGGTCAGCTTTGAGCTGGTTCTGACTCGTTGGTACAGAACAACAGTATAACAACATTCAAAGAGGAGAAAACAGAGGCTACCGGGTGCACAGGCATAAGCACAGATAGAACTTGAATTCAAATCTCCTTTCCTTCTCCACAGAGAAATACGGCCTGAGGTACAGACACTGTGCTACCTTAGCTACTGTCATGAACGAGTCGCGTACAACACTGGGTGATTTTCCCACTGCTATGGGGTGAATGTAAAATTTTTTCTACATCCCTTTCTTTGGATAAACATTTGACAGGACAATGCATTATTTCCAAAACTGCACTGAGAGTGGAGAAGGTTCAGAAACCCCAGTAATGGATCAGTTCCTATTTAACTGCATGTCAATTGCATGTATCATCTACTGTCATGGAGGCGGTGCCAACTCCTAACTGACCTTCCAGCGGTTTTTAAGCAGCTGTACATTGCATGGGACGGCACTGCCTACTTTTTTCCCTCTGAGCAGATGATGGATTTGAAGGGCAGCCTTTGGGGTGGCAGCGCACCTCTTTATCCACTGAAGTTCCCTAAATCCTCCATACAAGAGGTCAAATGGGATTCAAAAGATGTGTTAACCCACGAATCAATTTGGCACGAAAAAAGAAAGGAGAAAAAGAAGGTACAAATTTTTACATGACACGAAAATCTTTTCAATGATTGCCAACATAGATGGCGACACTCAGGATGTTTACATTTTACATTACTACATTAGGTAATGCTAAAAATCTAAAATAAGAAATTATGTGGCAAACATATCACTCTGCTGTGTTTAAGGATAATCTACTTAATACTCTACTGAACTGCGGTGAAATTTATCCTTAGAGTTGGAAAAACACTGCTATCTGGTTTGGCTCTGGGGAACTCCCAAAGGTTTTTTTACAGATACTTTTATTTAAAAATCTGAGATGCACACATCTTTTCTTGAGGGGGGAAAAATCGACCCCTTCCTTTTTAATTTACATTTTTATTACCTTTCGTCTTCAAATCTTCATCAGGTTCATACATCTCAATTATCCGCATTGCTCTTTTCGTGTCATAAAATGGGAACAAAATTTCATTCAGTCGAGGATCTCGTTGATGCTATGATTAGGAAACAACTCGCGTTAGGTCGACATTCCTCACCCTCGAGTATTCACATCTTATTAATGGACACATTTCCTCACCCAAGAGTGATCTAAAATAGCATGTTTATAGTAAAAATAGGACTCTACTGTCTTTCTCTTCTCCTAAAATATACCTCAAAAAAATTCAAATTTGGCAAGATTCTATTTGGCTCCTTTCACGGAACCATAGAGGGAGAAAATAGTACATACTTTTTTTTTCCCCTTCAAAAGGCGAAGAATTAATAATATAGCCTTTGAATTGCCATCCTCCCATTAAAACATTTGGCATAAAAGTGTGAGGTCTAACTCTCTTTAAAAGTAAATAAAAAAGCAAAAGCGAAGGGCAAAAAAGCTACAAAATAGCTCAGGTAGGCAGTGTACTATTTAAGTGCCCAAATGAGACAAAAAATGAAAACAAAGACAAAATCTTAACACAGTGGATAGGCACGCATCGTATCAAGAATAGATTTCTCGGGCTCTCCAATCTTTTTTTCTTGTGTAAATAGTTTTCTTTTTAAAAATGCAATAATGAGAAGGATATTTACAACCTCTGAATAACAGAGAAATCTGTGTTGAAATATCAGTCATTCAGAGATGTCTTTGTGAAATCTGACTCCGTTCGCCCTGACGGCATTCTTTAGTCATGAACAACTGGGACATTCAAGAGGCTGACTGCGCCACCCTCCTCCGGGCGGCTCCTTGGTGCCCTTGCCATTACAGAAGACACCAAGAACGAGGCAATTCTGTCAGCCCAACTTCAGAGCAATGGTGACAAGTCCAGCTGATCATGCTACCATCGCGCACGCGCGCGTGTGTGTGTGTGTGTGTGTGTGTGTGTGTGTGTGCATGCTTGGGAGGGAGTGTGTCCGTAAAACTTCTTTTTGTCCACTATTGCAGGACCATGCAATGCGTCCCTGGACATCCACCAAAAAAAAAATCCCAACCAAACTCCAATGGTACAGTGGCAGAAAAGCAGATGCAAGCAAAATCTGGCCCATAAATAGGACGTTGGCAACAGCTCTTTACCCAAATATATGCACAGACTTTGAAAACCCTGGTAAGAAAGGTCTTTAAGCAGCAGGTGTTAAAAGTTCATATGAATTTCCCTTGTTTATCCACTCTGAAAAGCTAATCTGAATATGGGGCTACATAGTATGGGAACCTTTGGCCAACTTGATGTCATTTCCTGAACATGTAACTTTAGCCTTTTCTGGTCCCCACCATACTCCACCAAGTTAGGAACGTTAACCTCTATGAACCAGTATCTATTTATCCCAATGTAGCATGCTTCTGCAAAAATCTAAGAAATTATAGCTCACAAGAGCTCACGTCCATGCATAGGACAGAACAGAACAGATTTAAGGTATTAGTAACAGGCTTTGAGGCCATGGAGAACAAAAATTGTGGGATTATTTGGAGAAAGAAAAATGGTGAGGTGGACCATAGGATGCCAAGCAGGTGACGGTGTGCTGCACCTTGTCCAGGAAACGATGCCCCAACCAGCGCTAGAACTCTCAGATCCCAGAAATGACAATTCCCCGCTGAGAATGAGTTGTTTTGAAAACAACCGCCAAATTCTTTCTTGGCACATTCTTCCACTTGTTTGTAAATAATCTCATGAGAGCTGATGGATGTGAGATTAAGAAGATAAAGGCCATCTTTGAGGTGGGCCATTTCTCTTCTTTTTTTATTGAATGGAATCTTTTTCTCTAAGGATATGTTCATTGGTGAGTGCTTTGGGGATGATGAGGGAAATCCATATGAATTAAAAAGTGAGATAAAGAAGAGTGCAGTAAGAGTGGACAGAAGAGTCATGGTTCGAGAAAGGATAGGAAATCTGGGCTTTTTCACCTATTTTTTTATACACACACAAGTGCGTACTGAAGTGTGGTGTGTGGACTGGCAGCACCACCAGGGAGCTTCTTAGAAAGGCAGGTTCTCAGGTTTTGCCCCAGACCTGATGAGTCAGATCCTCTGAGGTGAAACCAACCCAAGGATGATTTGGACAACTGATTCAAGTGATGCTGATGTCCTCAAGCTTGAGAAGCTCTTCCCAGACATAGAATAAAGGTATGCACTTAACATATTTGCATATGAGTCAAAGAGTACCTAAAAAATGTCCTGCAAGGATTAAAGAAATTGAAAGAACTTGTTCTTGAAAACAATGTATTTGGATTTTGTAAATAAACTAGTAGAAATAAAAAAAATAAATGGAGAGAGAGAAAAAAGTTTGATGTTCTTTGTCGCTGTTGTGTACCATCGAGTGGAAACTGATCCACAGCTGACCCTCCAGTGGGTTTTCAGAGGCAGTTAATCACACAGGACGAGACTGTCTATCCTTCTCCCACAAGATGGGTGATGTGTCCCCCAAATCAAACCCATCACAATTTAGTAAAAGGGCATGATATTCCAGCCTGCAAGAGGCAGGCAAGCCAAATTTCAGAGTGGAGTACCACATAATCCCCTGTTCTAAGAAGAGCATTCACAGAGGTTAGGTACAAAGAACAGGCAATGTGAAATTGCATTTGCCTTTGTGTCCACTCCACAAGAAAACGGATTTTTTTTTTATTTTCCAAAAAGAATCATATTTCAAAAAGGAGCACAGTACAGTCTGGCTAATCCAAAGGCAAGGAAATGAATGGTAAAAGTTATGTTAGTCACAAAATGAGTTCTATGGGGGAAACAGAAGAATTAAAGTGATATCCTGGTAACCTGACTGAAAAACTCGGTGATAGGATGTAAACTCAATACACAACTTTCCTTATTTTAAAAAGAAAGTACCCTCTTATTCCTTATGAATGACTGCTGCTTCTTGCATGGCCTGATTCCAGCATGATTAAACTGTCCTGAAATTACCATTCTTCACAATCTATTCATAATGTGCTATGATCCATGCAGTCAAATTTGCCTTTGTACTGCAAGGAAAATGCCAGTGAACATCTTTCTTATCTTTTCTGTTTTCAGTCATATCCATCTGGCATCAGCAATGACACCTCTAGTTCCAGTTCTCTTCTGAATCATCCTTGGATTCCCAGCACTTCTCTGTCAATGAATTGTTCTAACTACACCTGAAATATCTTCAGCAAGATTTATGCATTGTGTGATAATGATATTGTTCAACAATGTTGCATTCTTTTGAATCATCCTTCTTTGGAATACACATGAACACAGATCTCTTCTGGTCCAATGACCGGGTAGCTGTCTTCCAAATTTCTTGGTCTGAATGAGTACCCCCACTGCCGTACTTATTTGTTGAAATGTTTCAACTGAAATTCTGTCAATTCCTGGAGACTTGTTTTTTGCGAACACCTTCAGTGATGCTTCAATTTCTTTCTAGTAGTCCTTGAACATATGCTACTTCCTGAAATTGACAAGTACCAGCCAACTCATTTTGGTACAGTGACACAGTGTATTCCTTCGATTTTCTTTTGATGCTTCCTGAGCCATTCCATAGAATCCTTTACTACTGAATTCAAGACTTTAAAAAATTTTTTTCTTTAGCTATTTTAGCTTATGAAATGTCAAGTATATCATTACCTTCTGGCTTTCTAACTCCAGTTCTTCACATGTTTTATTGTAATACTATGTCTTTTTCCCGAGCCACCCTTTGAAATACCCTGTTCGGTTCTCTGACTTCACTTTCTCCTTTTGTTTTAGCTTCTCCACATTCAAGATTACGTTTCACAGTTTCTTCTGATGCTCACTTTGTTTTTTTTCTTGCTTTCCTATTTTTTAATGATCTTTTGCTTTCATCACGTATGATATCAATATCAATGGCATCTCTTCTTGAGATGGTCCCTAAATACAGTTGAGAAATATTCAAAATAATTTTTTTCTCTCATAGACTTGCTTTTATTTTCTTAATTTTCAACTTGAACCTGCATATGAGAAACCAGTGGTCTGTTCTGCATTTTGCCTCTCATCTTTTTTGATTAGAGATACTGAACTTTTCCATTATTTCTTTCCACAGATGTAGTCGATATGACTCTTGTATTCTGGTGAAGTCCCTGAGTATAGTTACTGCTTACACTATCTGTGTTTTTCTTAAGGTCATTTGCAATGAATAAATCTTTGTTTCAACACTATTTTATCCTGAAATTTCCAACACTGTTTTTATAACTAGGATCATATTTTCTAACTACTGATACTTCTCCATCCCAATCACCAGTAATGACCAATGTACATTAATTACATAATTGATGAACACTGGACTGCAAAAGTTAGTAGAAATCTTCAATTTCTTCCTTCTTGACTTTAGTGGTTGTTTGCAAATTTGAACAATAGTTGTATTAATAGGCCACACTTTGGGTGGCAGTCAAGATATAGATATTGAAGAGGCAAGTCTAAGATTACTGTGAAAAATCAGTATGTGTTGATGGAAAATATAAGAAGGAAGTGCAGTTGGCCAATTGCTTCTCATATGGTTTTCTCTTCTGGAGATGCACTGAGAAAAATACCTTACCTAAGAAGTAAACAGGATTCTAAACTAGAAGGGAAATGGGAGGCAATGAAACTTCTGTGAATAAAAGTTTGTTTTTTATCCTACTATTTACTGCCTTTGAAAACCTGATGGAGGGTCAAGTATGGGTCAATTCCAATGCTGTTGACACCTACCATTGTTAAAAAAAGTGTTGGGTAAACACTTAACAGATTTTACGTATTTTAGGAATGAATCAAAGCAAGACAATATTGGTGATCTTATTTTTTAAAAAATATATTTTATATTCCCACCACTAGACCAATTGGCAGCATCAGTATGGATGGTGAAGAGATTGAGATTGTTCACAGCTTTAGTTTTCTTGGCTCCACAGTCAAGAGTCTCGGCACCAGTAGCCAGGAAATTAAAAGAGGTATTGCCATGGGAAAGTCTGCTGTTAAGGACCTCTCCAAAGTACTGAAGAGCAATGGTGTCTCTCTGGAGACTAAGGTGCTTCTGATACAGGCCATGGTTTTTGCTATCACTTGTCATGCATCAGAGAGTTGGACAATGACTAGGGAAGATAGAAGGAGAATTGATGCCTTTAAGCTGTGGTGCTGGAGAAGAGTATTGAGAGTACCATGGACTGTAAGGAAAACAAACAGATTCATCCTGGAGAGGGTTAAACCGGAAGGCTCCTTGGAGGCAAGGATTCTGAGGTTCCGTCTAACATACTTTGGACATGTTGTAAGGAGGGACCGGTCCTTGGAGAAGGACATCATGCTTGGGAGGGTGGAGGGACAGTGCAGGAGGGGAAGGCCCTCTATGAGGTGGATTGATTCAGTGACTGGGGTAATCGGGATGAGTGTATTGGAGACAGTGCGATTGGCACGGGACAGAGCAGAGTTTAGGGCTGTTGTACTCATAGGTCGCTATGAGTCGCAAGCTACTCGACGGCACATAACAACAACAACAACAACACAACAACAACAAAGATTAGAAGAGGTATGAGTTGGTAGGTCAATAAAGTCAACCACAAAGGTACAGACTTGGGGTAAGAGGCCATGAGGGAAGGGACTTTCCATGTGACTTCTGAACTGGATCTGGATGTGAGCCGCAGCGCAGTGTTAAGGTCTCTGTGATGCTCAACCAGTGGCTGGGTGCCAGCTTCAGCCCCCCTACCCTTTCTTAGGGCACCGATAAAGTGATGATGTGGTAGCTCTTCTTCTCGCCACTAAAGTGTCTTCTGTTTCAGTAAAGAGAAGGATTCTTGCCCATTTCAGTAAAATTAAGATTATCAATGATACAGGGAGAAGCTGAGGGAGTTAAAACCATTAAGAAGAAGAAAATAAAAAGCAGAGGAGGGGAAGCAGTTAAGGACAGAATGCAAGGCAATTTAACCTCTGAGTAACTGTGGCTTCAGCATGTGGATAATATCTGGGTAAAGATTATAAAGAGAGTATTTCCATGAATAGAAACTTATAGAGAAAAACAAAAGTAATCTTGAAATGCTTTCAAGCAAAATAAATATTGTATTGTACCAAAAGGAGGAGTTAAAAATAGAGGCATCTGTGCAGATATTGGAGCACCTTCTTGGTCTTCTATGCAATGTGGCTAGGCTCTACTTAGCAGAGCTGTTAAAGTGTAATCTTATGTATGTAACCTCCTGCATCTTCACAAAGAAAGAAAAGATTTTTGGCAAAATGGGCGTTGTCTCTATAAAATAGGGCAATATCTGGTGTCTACAGGAACGTGGCTTTTTTAACATTTTCTTTGTGTGTACTATGATGGCCACAGGAATTATTTTTAAACAAAAATAAAATTGCCCATCCTTCACTTAAACACCTCAAATTAGGAACGTTCTACACATATGAAAATTTACAAAAATGAATTTTTAGGAATATGGACTTTTCTTTCCTATTTCATAATAGCTTCAGTGGCCCTGATTGAAGAGAAAACATGGTGCTGGGTACGTGTAGAGGAAGGAGAGGTCCATTTTGGTTGTAACAAAAACTCCAATCTAGTTCTAAAGTATTTTTTTATTGTGCCCAGAGCAGACTTTGTCCATGAGTTTTGGTTGTTAAGTGAATCGTATTCTAAAATTAGCCCTGAGCTTGTTACAAAAAGTATAAAAAAAAATCTCATCTATAATGCAGCTGGCTTAATATAGGCTATATTTTCACCCAAGAATTCAATGTATTTTACTTTTTTATCAAAATATCCCACTCCAACCTACATTATTTCTCTTACATGCAATCTACTATAAAACAAAACAAACAAAAACAAAGCTTTCCAGTCCATGCAAAAGTATGAGGAATGGTTAGCAATGGAGGATTCCATAAGAGTACCATACCCAATCCATCCTCATCTAATGAGATCAACAGAAACAAACCCTTGAATATCATTTGGCAACAACATAGACACATTTAATGAAAGGAATTGTGAAATCCATACACACAGATCCAGAGGTACACAGCACAGCCGGACAACAACGCAAAGCAGTGTGCAAAGCCGAGGTGTGAGAAGCACACAGACCCGTCAGAACAGCAGTTGATTCTTGCACCTGGTAAAGCCATTCTGGAAAGATCAGCATGTGAGAAGCACAGCAAATGATGGCGTGTGACAAGCGCATGCAATGAGAACACTGGAGAGACAAGCCATCGCACACAGACTTTATGGAGTTAATGTATGAAAAAGCTTACTTCATTTAGAAAGCTCACTAATTGGTCTACCGTTAAATAATCAGTTTTGTCTCCATTGCTGAAAAGGAATTTATTAGAAAAAAGTAAGTTTTTGTATATGATGCTACAGCAGGTACGATTTACATGTTGACATTCGTTGACGATAACTTCTAAAACTTATTTTTCTAACCCTGAAGTAGTGGTGCTTTCTTAAAATGGCCAGAGACTGTCTATATGCAACGAAACAAAACAAAACAAAACGAAACAAAACAAAAACAACAAAAAATATAACCAAAACAAAACAAAAAAAATAACAAAGGAAAGAAAACTCTCCCACCAGCTGTCAGAAAAATTCAACTTTGGCATCATACAAATGTGTTATTTCAGACACAACATGTAAGTCATCCACTTAAAATAACTCGAATGAATGAACTTTTTCAACAAGATAATGACATTCCAAACTGAATCTAGTTAGTTCACATAATGGGTTAATATCTAAAAGAGCAGGTTAAAACCGTAAGGTCGTTAGCAAAGCCAAGGCAGGGGAGGCAGGGCGGGCCTTCCAGGTGCTTCCATTAATTTACATAAAAGTTTCTCAAAAGTCAGAGTAAACTTTTACACAGATTCACTAAGGGGTGAAAACATAAGCCCCACTAGCCTGTTTTCTAGCTACTCCTAACATGCTATGTTAAAATCTTATGACTAGGGAAAAAAAAGGGTGTTAAAAATCTTAAAAGACAATGATAACATTTACATGACATTTGGTCATAAACAGTACTTACATTTTCTTAAAAAGATCCTCTATATCTGTTCGAGGACAAATCTTCTGTGTCAATTCATAAAACTTTTCATAAGTAAAGGCCGCAGGCTCAATTTCATCATTCTGTAAAGAACAACAGAGTGGCATTAATCATAAAAAGAATTTTCACTTGAGAATTTACAAGGTCACGAAGCAAAGGATGAGAATCTCTTGGAATCTCAGGGCTTCCATCTTGGATGGAGCTATAGCTGATGGAAATTGGGGATTAACCTATTATCTTGGGCCACTGTCATGCCTCCCTAAATCCAAGCATGTATCTGTGAAGGTTCTAGTCAGTGTGCAGTCATGGATTGTGCTGGCAAACCCCCAGCTACAGCTGGGCTTGCTCTGAAGTTTTCCCCAAAGAATAAATAGAAACATTTCCTTCTTCTCTCCCTCAAGAATGTTCTGGCAGGTGCTGTCAAGTCAACTATGACTCACAGTGACCCTATGAACCTTGCCTGACCTCCGCTTTGCTCAAGCTCATTGATAGGAGTCACTGGGTGAATCCATCCTGTTGCAGGTCCTGACCTGACTTTTGGCCTTTTGGCCTTGAGTATAGAGGAGAGTGTGAAGACAGCACAGGAACAGGCAAGGTATTCCGCTTTTGTTCAAAGGTCGCTGTACGTTTTAGTTGACTTGCCAGCACTTATAAACAACAACAAAAAGGCAGTGAATAAATTAAGCGAATTTTCACTTACTTCACTTGGTGACTTTTCACAAGACCATATACAAGGGCTTATATTACTCTATACTGGTGGCCATAGAGTCGAAACAACTCAGAGCTGACCCTCCAGGGTGTTTTCAGGGCTGTCGATCTTATGAGAAGAGACTGCCCATCCTTCTCCCCTAGAGCCACTGCTGGATTCAAACTGCCTGCCTCTGGGTTGGAAGCACAACTCTTTTTGCCCACTAAGCCATCAGAGCTCTCTTAAAAGGCAACCACCTAAAAGGGTTTAAGGCAATCATTGAAAATGTTGCTTTGTCTATGGGAATTTCTATTTCAAACTGGTCTTATGGAAGCAGTTAACAGGTATAAACTTTTCTTGCAATCACTATGTCAACTTAAATTATTTAAATTCAAAGGGAAGTGAACACAAATGGCTCGCTTGGGAAGAAGTGCTTTATAAACACCTCAAAGCTACCTTGGGAAACAGAATTTATTAGTTACTTTTCATGCTGACTTTCTGCTTTCTTGAGAAGGGCTTAATGGGCTTCTTTAAAACAAGTTCTTAGAGCTGTAGCAGAGTAGCCTAGCTCTCAGTTCCTGCTCTCAAAGCAGGTGACAAAACACATGCACAAGTACACTACTTGACTTTTAAAATATTTACGATAAACTGTCCAGAAAAAGAAAAGAAGGATGGAAGGAAGGAGAGAGGGGAAAATGAACTATTCCTGCCTAAACTAAATTAATATGTGTTTGTATACATAATACAGTTCATTATTATTACATATAGGGATATGAATGAGCAAGATGGTTTTAGAAACACACTATTAAATTAGTGAATACCTTTCCACTGGGAAGACCTAACTCCTTGAGCGCCTGAAAGATGACCTTTTCTGTTTTCCCTGATGCAAATGTTCTCGTAATACTAGGGCAGAAAAGAAAGAAAAGAGATCACACATTACTGTCCTTCTAACTTTCTCCGATACCAAACTCCAAGCAACTGTAGGGATGAGAAGTAGTGAGAGAAGAAAACAAGAGGAAAAAAACCTGTTTTCATTTACTGTTATTTTTCAAAACTAATTTTCATTGACTTGGAACCAATCCACAGCTGACCGTCCAGTGTGTTTTCAGAGGCTGTAACTGGCACGGCCAGCAGAGCTCATGCAAAGTCAACTGCTGTCACCAGGGCTGGCATGCTAGTGAGGCAAATGAAGTCCAAGACAAGCATTTCCCCCAGGTGCTTGTGAAAACGAGGGGTGCCTGCCTGAGGATACACACTGTTGGACAAAACCACGGTGCGTTTGGTCCCATCCGGTTACTTTCTGGCAGTCCCTGGGTGGTGTTAAAGCGCAGCTTGTCTGCTAACAAAAATACCGGAGGAGGCTGGATGGCTCCTCCGCTGCTTCTGAAAGAGCAGCCACTGGAAGTCCCAGGGGGGCGGTTCCACCTTGACACTCATAGAGTCGCATAAGCAAGAATCCAGCAGACGCCAACTGGTGATGCCAGTAAGTTACCTTCTCAGGAAAAGGGAATCTGGCAGATGAGGTAGTAGCTTTAGGAAGAAACTTAACGGTTGACATCAGGTGAGCTCGAGAGAAAATGGTAGGCCCTTTTAGGAATTCGTTCATTCCTGGCCTGCTTTCATCCCAAATTTTACCCATACTAGTTATCACACACTATCAAGGCAAGGTGTCTCTCTCTCTCTCTCTCCCACCCTCCCTCCCTCTTGCCTTCTCTTCCCAAGCTAGACTGGAAAATTTGTAAGGAAGATAGACAAATAATCAAGCCTTTCTTTCAGTTGTGGTGTTGGAGAAGAGTATTGAATATCCCATGGACTTCCAAAAACCCCCCAACAAGTCAGTCGTGGAATAAGTATAACGAGGGTGTTCCTTAGAGGCAAGGATGATGAAACGTGGTCTTACGTACTCTGAGCCTGTTATCAGAAGAGGCCAGTCCTCGGAGAAAGACAATGAGCCCTAGATGTGGGATTCCAAATAGCAGTACTAGAGAAGAGCATCAGGTTGGTAAAGGAATAGCATTTTCACGAACACACTCACACACATTTATCTATATTTATACTGGTGATGATTAAAGAAGGAGGCACATTCCCTCCTGTAAATACACTGGTGACATCACAGTGAATGAAAGCTATTGAGGCCACCACTCTACGTCCAGGAAGTTAACTCCTCCATTGCTGAGCTGTGTCCAGGCCCCCAAGAGGAACCTTCTTCCACTTCCTGGTTAGAAGTCTAGATACTTTGCCAACTAAGAATTTAAACACAACAAAGGGCTTGGCGCTTGTCGGGGAAGCCTGGCTTTGTAATGTCTTCCCTGTGTGCACAGAAGATTCTTAACATCGCCCCTTGTCCAGCCTGCTCATTCTTCTCACTCAGGGTAAGTGGAAGGCACGCTCCTAATGGAAGCACTAACAGCCTGTTAATCTTGACAAGTGGGAGCAGTACCACTTCAACCACCGATTACAACTTCCCAAAATAGACTGGGAAGAAGTAGCTCCAGGTAAATGAATTATGAGGTGTTCCCTCCAAGTTTCACTGCTTCATACTACGTCCAAGGATAGCTCAGGAAACACATTTTTAAGAGTGTGGGGACTGTTGTATTCAAATATAAGAGACCCTATGAATTCTCTTTAGCTAATCTACAGAAAACAGAGCAGACCCATGAGTGACATCAACTGAGCTGGTTTGAGTCTTCAGTATGTTGTTGTTGTGATGTGCGGTTGAGGTGCCTGTGACTCTGGTCGCTTCTAGTATAGAAGGTGCTATCCCCCTATTTTCTCATTTTTCTAGAACTTAGGGAGTATTTAGACACTGAATTGAGATGACATACACCTTGTCTAACCTTTCCACTTAACGGAAAGTAACTATTGTGGGTGTCTCTTTTCCCCAGGCTCCCTGCCCCCATGTGTTACTGTGTGAGTTACAGGGTCCCATTAGGATCTAGGCTAGAGAGCCCTTAATCAGGAGGAAAAGTTGTCCATAGCAATCTCAAAGGTATCTCAGCTTAAAAGAGACTATGATACAATTTTATGTTCAAAGAGCTCAATTTGGTGCTTCATAGTTAACAAGTATTCAATGAGTCTTCATGGAATCAAACTAATCGCCATTCCTTCATCAAATACAGTGTTACAAATACCTTTAGGTCACTTCATCCTTGCCATCAAGTCAGAAACGACCCATAGCTAAGCCTCCAGCAGGTTTTCAGAGGCAGTTAAGCTCATAAGAGGAGACTGCCCGTCTTTCTTCCTCAGAGCGGCTGGTGAATTTGAACTGCATACCTTTGGGACTGAAGCATAGCTTCTAACTACGAGGCCACCAGAGGTCCCTCACCCTTGGGTAGTAGTATCCAGTATTACTAGCATCTTGGTGAAGTTCCATGTTCCAAGGATCTTGTAGGTGTCAAAGACAGTCATGATCCTGGAGGCTAAAAGAATACCAATCTATGTGTCTCTGCGGGACTGTCTATAATCCCTTGATGGTTTTCACACCATCCTCTAACACAGGCACAGAGCCCTCCTGTGGTGAAGATGAGTTACTGCCTGAAGAAACGGACTCTCCTTACTGGCAGACCTAGGAGTTGGGCAGCCACCATCACACCTGAGACTCCCATTCTTCTTAAACACAACTTCCCAACCTCTTCCAGCTATGACTCATGACCTCTGTTTGGCTACTCACTTCCCAAGCCATTGTTTTTTTCACTCCAGGTTACTGGAAGTGAGCGAGGCAGAAGCAATCAGTGACTTGTAAAACCTGGGTCTGAGTGAGCGGGTATGCTGAGGTTTCACATTTGAGAGACAGGAAGGCTGCTTATAATGATGTACACAAAAAGAAAACACAAGAGGGAGATGAGGGTTAGGATTCTCTTCATTTGTCATTCCTTCAACTTCCTGGATTTTGATTAGCATCCAACAGCAGGGTCATTTCTAAGTTTTGTGATGGCCGCTGCCAGATTCCGTTTAAGATTATACACACTAAGAGTTTCCCTTTTAAAAACCACAGGGTGACAGTGATGAATCATCATTTTGAAAATGTTTACTCTTCATATCCATTAAAATACTCAGACCATTTCCACCTAGCTGTTGGCGGTTCATCCACCAGGAGATTTATTTTGTCTTTTTTTTTTTTTTGGCTTCGGATCAGTTCTCCATCAACTCCAGCAAACTACCCCCAAGTAACAGACGCCTTGTGTCAAACACCTGTGAATATTGGCAGGCGACGGAGAGTTCCATGCCAGAAAGAGCTGCAGATCAGGCCAAGATATCTTAGTTACTCCTACGGAGAAGGCAATGATCATTTTAGATGCAAACATGGAGTGAGAAAAGGCTGTGGAGCATGGTTAACAATGGCCTGGTTGGTAGGACACACAGAAATGAACTTTGACTAGTGGTTCAAAGTGCTCAGATCAGAATCTGTGGGTTCCTACTTGATTAATTTCCCAAGTCTTTCCTGAGATGAAAAAGCAGGACAGGGAGGTATGTAAAAACAGACTTGACTTACATTTCTGTATACGATATTACTGTCTGTGCTCTGCAGTGGGCAAATTTACTATGCCTAGTGGCTGTGGCTGCTACGTGATTTCAAATCAGAATGGACTCACAGCTGACTCTCAAGAGGGTTTTCAGAGACAAAAGACTGCACAGAACAATGGCCATCTTTCTCACGCAGGGTGGTTGATGGATTCCAACTGTGTGCCTTTGGGTTGGCAGCACGACTCCTTACCATTAAGCCATCAGAGCGAGCTCTTTATCCCAACAGGATAGGTGAGTGTTAAAGAACGCACAAGGCCCACGGTCTTTCATTCCTGATTCCACCTCAAGTCAATCAGTGCACTCATCACTTTTACCACGGGCAGGGTGGGCAGGTAGTGATGGTTCCTAACAGTGTGTAGTGTAAGGTATAGTGTATTTAGACAGCAAGGAGCAAGAAGTCAAAGAAAGAGGCCCACTTGCTCCGGGAACCAGCAAAGTCTTGGAATGAGAATGCTCTGAGAAGAGGCATGAACTGTCTGTAGACCAGTCCATATGCCTCCATTTCAGCACATCATAAACGAGCCACTACAGAGCGGATTCCAGTGAATGGCAATTCCATGTGTGTGGAGTGAAACTGCTCCCATGAGGTGACCTCTCAGAAACAGACTGCAAGGGCCTGCCTCGGAGATGCCACTTGGTAAATCCAAACCATCAACCTTTGGGTCAAGAGTCGAACATTTTAACCATTTGTGCCACCCAAGGTGCTCCCTCCATACACCACAAACTTCTTAATTCTGAGCTCTAGTTGCTCAGCATAAATAGATGTAAAAAAATTTAAATACTATTTGAGAATTTTTTAAAAGACTTCATTTTAATGTTCTTTATTCTGCAGATAGTTAATGTTAATGATTCTGAGAAAAAAATTGCATCCTTCTTCTGCAAAAGAGAGTTCAACAGGTTGAACAGAGCATTTGGTAAATGACTTCAATATAAGCTTCCCAAACCACAAAAAGTTAAGCACTATCTAAGAAGTGCTTGTTAACTAACAAGGTCTCCCTGTGTCTACCACCCTCAGGGCAGACAAAGCATGAACCACACCAGGAAGGAGAAAGCCTTACCTTCTAACTGGAATTTTACCATTTGTGTTGGTCATGAATGCCAATTTCATCCAACTGAAACAGAAACAGCATTGTTTTAATGCCTCTTACCAGCAATAGCCTCAGTCTAGTTAAGAACTATGGGGGAAGGATTGTAAAACAATGAAAGAATCTTTTCTTTTACTTTTCCATAATTTTTGACTCATGTACTTATAACTTGTTAGTTAAATTTGTGTCTTCTAGGTTGCAACCCCCCCATGATACATCTTCAGGGATATGAACATGTACGGCTAAGCACAATTAATAACAGTGCATCTAAATTCCAAAATCAATCTCCATAATAGTCTATATGTTTCCTATTGCCAAAGGGGCCCTTTAGAGTAGTGAGAGAAGATCTTCACCCTGAAACCCACAGCGTCCCTTTTCAGCAGGAAGTAGCTAAGAGAATACGCCATCCCCTTTTCCTTATGACTCAGGGTGAAGTCTCTCTCAGGGAGGAGTGATAGGGAATGGCAAAGGACACACTGACAAAGGAGATTAGTCAGAACTGACTTTGACAAGCACTGTGGCAATTGGACAATTAAAACAGACACTCGGATGGCGGGGAAGAAGAACAAACTGGGGAGGAGGGTAGAGAGAATGGTGCAGCAAGGAAGGAATGAAAACCCAAAATCCCTGTAAATGTTCATTAAAACTAATAAAATTTAATAAAATAAAATAAAAGAACTATGAAAGACCACAAAAAAGTCATGCAACAGAGTATTTCTTCTGAACACCAGAGGCAATGACATACTCTCTAATAAACCTAGAATTTTCAAGCTTGGACAGCAAGATAAATGTAAATTTCACATAAACGCCAAATGAATTTTCAACAAATTGCTGTCACCTTGGGTAAGTTGGACGTCACTCTGAAAAAAAGCAAAATGTGGGTACAGCAAAAGCCAGCCTATGTAGAACACTTTGGGATTCTGGATATTGCAAGACCTGCTCTCTGAATTTAAAAAAGTACCTCTGGTCCCCACTGTAGGCTAATGAGGGAACACTGTACCAAGGGTCTGTGCCTCCCTTTCTACTCAGCAATGAAAGCTTCTGAACGTGCTCCTCTCGGACTCATTCCCCATTGTTCAGTCATGGCTGGAGCTCCATCAGTGCCCAGTCATGGCTGTAGGCATGTAAGTGTTCGTTCATCTGAAGACTCATCTGGGGGCCACCAACATCCCAATGGACTTGACTGAGTCCATTTCTAGCATCGTTTCCCATCAACCGCTCCTTCTTATATATGCTTTGGCTATGGATTCATCATGCACGCCCTGCTGAGGGGTCATGAAGAGACAGGTCCACACCTGGTCAGCTCGTTCTCCATGTTCAGGAGCATGGCAGGGGAGGGTCAGCAGGAAATTGCCTCCATATACACTTAATCTCCTAATAGAACCACTGCTTGATAACAGCTGGGGAAAAGGGACAATGCAAACGAGACTCACTGTTTCTTGAGGCAGGTCATGGGACTGACGTTGTTGGCTCTGAAGTTGTGTATGATTGATCGCAGGCCTTCTACCCATTGCTGAGAGAGAAAGGAAAGGATGAGCATTCTTGGTTAGCAGGTCTTGACCAATTGTTCCTGGAAGAAACTGAATAGGGTGGCTTTGGCCAGACAGCTTTTATAGTTTCCTTTAATCAAAATGTAATGACGTCAATAGACTATATAACACTACTTACTACACTCATCTATATTTTGCACACTCATATTTTATCCTTCATTTAAAAAGCTCCCAGGGGAGCTCTGGTGGCCTAGTGGCAAGAAGCTGTACTGCAATCCCAGAGGTACATGGTTCAAATCCACCAGATGCTCTGCCGGAGAAGGAGGGACAATTTCCTCCTGTACCAGTAAGATCTGATTTGACAGTACATGCACAAAAAATAACAATAAAATAAAAAATTTAAAAAAAAACTTCCAATTTTTTTCTCTGTAAAGATAAATGTGGCCTCCACAGTGCCACGAAGTGCTGGCTTGTCACACAGGAATGCCGGTTACTGATGGATTGGTTAAGTTTTCTATTTGCAGCCTGTTTAAATTTAAGCTATTCCCCACCCCCCCACCCCCGCCAGTTGCTGGCAATATTCATCATTTCTAAGCTACGGTATACAGCAAATGATGACATTTTTACCCATTCCCATTTCAGGGTGTGAACACATCAATTTTATTGTGAGGCTCTGGTCCCATTTAAGAGATTATGACAGACTTCACCTGCTTGGGTTTTTCGACAAAGCCTTAAAAAAAAGTCCAAAGTTCCCTCACTGCCAGGTTACCCTGAGCAGACAGCAGAGTGCTCGCATAACCTCTGTAAAAGGACTTGGACCTAACTGCAGTTCATACCACCATCACTCCACGGTGTTACAAGGAAAACAGAAGAAAGATCATAATACACAAAAGTAAAGAATTGGTCACTAAAGGGAATTTTACTAGAAAAGGCTGGTTCACGAAATTAAGGTCAATTCTGCCCTTGAGTTAAAAAAACCACCACCAATGAACACCATCCAAGTTGCTAAAATAATCTCGCCCCCAGCAAAACGCTCTGTATCAAAATGATCCTGTGGGTTAAACAGATTTGTGACCCACAGATATGCCAGTGCTCTATCCTTCTAGGTTTACAGCCTGACTGATGGCTCTATTCTAAGAAAGCAAGGATATTTTAGGATAACTAGCCTTAGTGGCTTAAAGGTAAGGAATTGCACTGCCAATGCAAAGGCACATGGTTCAAATCCACTAGCTGTTACACAGAAGAAAGATGGGGAATCTCCCTCTCTGTGATGCCTTTATAAACCTGCTGGAGGGTCAGCTGAGTTTCCTACTCGATAGTACACAACACCAACATTCACGGAGAGGGGAGCCCTGGGACAGAGTCCACAGGGAGTTAGTCTACCATGCCAAGGCTGAGCCTCTCTGGCAGTTCAAATCCTGGTGCTCCTCAGAAGGCAGATGGACAATCACCTTCTGTATGACTTACAGCCTTGGAAACCCAGCAGTCTAAGCTATGAGTCAGTTTGAATTTCACAGCCATGAGAGAGAGAAAGAAAGTAAGTAACAGATGTAATTTTTATCTGTGCCTCTAATATCGTAGCCACAGTCATGCATGGCTATTAAAATGTAAATAAAACAATAACATAAATACAAATGCACTTCCTTTGCGTCGATTACTCCTATGGCAGTCCTCTAACGAGTCTCTGAGGCTGTAAATCTTCATCCCACAGAGCAAACGGTAGACGAGAACCACTGACCTATAGGTTAGCAGCCTATTATGCACCACTTCACCATGGCGGGAAGATGCATCTTCAGTGCATCTACCACACTTCAAGTGAGTAGCACCCACCCATGTCTTGTGGTCATCAAACCAGTCGGTACATAGGAAGGGCCTTTCCATCCTTGCAGGAGTCCTAACAAGAACAATTACCAGATTTAACTCAGTCAGGCGAGGTAGTCCGACCAGGGCCGGGCATGATGATGGAATTCCAACAGTGTTTTCAACTCTCCTCACTTTGCTTGACATGCACAGATAACACTAAGCAGCTTTCTGAGGAGGTACTTGGGCTGTCAGAGACAAACTTCCTTCCATGACTAAAAAAGGGTATTTTCTTAGCATTGTGAAAAGCCTCCGAAGCCTCACCAAACAGGAAGGTTAAGTTAGGACCCAGAGGGAGGACAAAGAAATGACAGAGCACCCTTAACAGAAACACATCAGTTCTTTTTCATCGTCAGACCTTCCTAAGTCGGGCTAAATACGGCCTCTAGCTCCCAGGGGACTCTCACATATCCTGTTACTGGCCTAAGAAGTCACAGGCCCACACAAGAGTTTCTCAAGTACAGACAGAATCAAAAGCACACATCATTTGGCTGGCATTAACAGGGAAGCATTTTCTTAACCTGAAGGGCTGCGATGTGTTCCAAACCACAAAGTCCGGGGTTCCGTCGTTCCCGGGGCAAAAGAGGCCAAATTTAGAAACTGTTGTGGGCTACTTATCATTCTCATTTAGTTGTTTCTACAAATAAATTACAGGGATGCTGGGCTTTGAGTTGACCTCGCTTACTTTCATCCATCTTTTTGAAAAGTGAAGGACCTTGTTTATTGTGACAGAAAGGTTCTGACCTTTGAAGTAATCACTTCAGAGGCAGCACCAGGCTTTAGCAGGAAATGACCCCTGGGATCCTTGCAGGTCTGGTAGGGCTCTGGTAGGGCGTCTTTCTCCTCACGATGATGAATGTCAGGCCACGGAGCACTTAGCACAGGGCAGGGAAGCAGGGAGGACTCTGTCGCCTGTTCATACATCTGTGACACTGTATCTCGTCTGCTAGTCCACAGCTCTCACACTGTGCTGCAGAAAAGTCCCACCAGAATTTTCTTTCCCTGTGTTATCTCTCATGGGATCTCTGGTGGTGTAGCCTGTACCAAGTTCTGCTGCTGGCCCAAGGGCCAAGCATCTCTGCTAGTTTGACTATATCAGCCAGCTCCAAGGTACAAATATGGGCAATTTCCTCCAGTTCTGAGCCTCAGAAACCTAACGGGGGTGGGAGTTAAGCTATGGGGTCCCCTCAACTCACTCCCATTGAACTGGAACCACCTGGCTTTCTAGCGGGTTTTTAGAGGCTGTAAATCACACGAGAAAATGCTGCCCACTCTTCTGCAGAGCAGCTGGTGGATTTCAACCTCTTACTTTGGGCTGGCAGTGAACTCTTAGCCCCTTAGGTAGCTATAAAAAAGTGGGAAGACTGGAGGGGTGGAGTGGTACTTTTGTGTTTGTTTTAAAACAAACCAAAAAACCCCCCTCAACTCAAAACAGAAACATGGAGGAAATGCCAGCAGGTGTCAGCAGAACCCTAGCTTTTAATTAGAAGGCTATGCTGAGACATTTGCTGCAGAGGATAAAAGACTGCAGCTTTTAAAAAGGATTACATCTCAATATCAAGGAAACAAAAAGTCAAACCACTGGGCCAGTAGGCAGCATCACAATGTTGTTGCTGTTGTTGTTACATGCTGTCAAGCGACTTTAAGTACAATAGCCCTAAACCCTGCGCTATTCTGTGCCAATCTTACTGTCTCTGACACACCTACCCCATTACTCCCGTCACTAAATCAATCCATCTCATCTGCAATTCTTAAGGCCTGTGGTCGAGGCCACCAGCTGCTCCACAGGAGAAGTGTGGGCAGCATCTTCTCGTGTCATTTATGGCTTCTAAACACCCACTAGAGGGCCAGCTGATTCCGTTTGAGGGAGGGTCTTCCTCTTTTGCTCTGTCCCTCCACCCTCCCAAGCATGGCGTCCTTCTCCAAGGACTGGTCCCGCCTTGCAACATGTCCAAAGTATGTCAGATGAATCTTCAGAAGCTTTGCCTCCAAGGAGCAGCCTGGTCTCATCTTCTCTATGACGGACTTGTTTGTTCTCCTAGCAGTCCACGGTATATATTCCATACCCTTCTCCAGCACCACAGCTCAAAGGCATCAATTTTCCTTCTAGCATCCCTAGTCATTGTCCAGCTTTTCAATGCATAGCAAGTGACTGCAAAGACCATGGCCTGTATCAGGTGCACCTTACTCTCCAGACTGACATCAGACAGAATAGGAAGAAAAGACCAAGATGGGATTTCAGAAGAAACTCTGAATATTGTACTAGAGCACCGAGAAGCCAAAGCACAGGGAAGAAATCAAGACATTAAGAAGTTGAACAGAAGAAGATTCCTAAGGGGAGTGTGGGAAGGCCAAGTAAAGATTACTATGAAATGTGCAAAGAGTTAGAGTCAGAAAATCAAAGGGGCCGAACTCGCCCAGTGTTTCTTAAGCTGAAGAACTGAAGAACAAATTCAAGCCTCAAGTTGCAATACTTAAGGATGCTTTGGGCAGAATATTAAATGATCCAGGAAGTATTAAAAGAAGTTGGAAAGAGTATACAGAGTCATTATACCAAAAGGAATTGGTGGACACATGAAATAACGTATGAGCAAGAGCCTGTGGTGATGAAGGAAGAAGTTCAAGCTGCTCTGAAATAACTGAGAAAAAGACAAGACCCCAGGAAATGATGGCATACCAATAATTGACAGCATCATGATAGATGGAAAAAATATCAAAAATGTCAACAATTTCATCTTGCTTGGACCCAAAACCATACCCTTGGCACAAGCAGTCAGGAGATCAGGAGAAGTATATAACATTGGGAAAGTGATGTCAAGGACCATTTCAAAGCCTTGGAGAGCAGTGATGTCAGTTTAAAGAGTAAGGTGTGCCTTTTCCAAGCCATACATTTCATTATCATTATGCCTCCGAGAGCTGGGAAATGAATAAGGATGAGAGGAGATAATTGTTGCCCTTGAGTTGTGGTGTTGGAGTGCTGAATATCCCAAGGACCGTGGAAAGAATAGTTATGTTTTGGGAAAAAGTGCAACCAGAGTGCTCCCTGGGGGCAAGAATGATGAAGCTTAGTCTCATATATTTTGGATGTGTTGTTAGAAAAAGGACATTATGCTTGGAAAGATGGGAGGATGGGGAAAGAGAGAAAAGAATGAGATGTATTGAT